AAAAATATTCGGGATTATCAGGCTTGTGAGCTCTGGGATCTGCAAGGCAGCTTTCCCTCCCCATGATGTAAGTCAAATGGCAGAAATGAAATAAAGCACCTCATGTATCCTCTGGTGTTAACAGGAAAAGGCTAATCTTCTTGACCTTGTTTCTTCCTGGGTAAAAGGAAGATAATATGTCAGGATGCGACAAGCTCATTTAGGGCAGGAACCATGTTGTCTTGTTCACTGCTGAATCCCAGGCACCGGGAAGGCTGAGTTTAATGAGTGAATGAATGAACTGTAGTTCCCCCAGAGTTACCATGTGGGGCAGTGTGGATTATCAGCTAAGAGCATAGACTCAAGAGGGGAGGGTACAGCTCAAGTGATGGGGTGCATGCTTAGCACGCATAAGGTCCTGGGCTCAGCCCCCAACACCTCCTCTAAAATAGACAAATAACCTTAAATACCTCCCCACACCACATCAGAATTACCTTATTATCTCCCACCACCAAAAAAAAAAAAATAAATAAAGGAGTAGTAACCAAGATAGTAGACTCAGGCTGGAACACCTATGCTGGTTTCTCGCTGTCGACTTTGTAAATGTCATTTAGCCTCTGTGTTTATCAAGTTCTTCATCAATAAAATGGGGATAATAATAGTACCCACCTCATAGAGTTGCTATGGGGATTAATGAATCTGTGTCAATGTTAGAACAGCCCTGGCTAATAGTAAATACTATGCATCTGTAAGCTCTTTTCATAAATACTGACAGATGTTATTATCAACCAAAGAAGTATTAGTTCTTTGTAAGGGAAATGCATGTTAGACCATTTAATTTATCATTTTCTGTAATTCAGGCTTTTTCCCCCTGAAATACCATTTTCTGTCTGCACTAGAAAGCCACAGGGTTTTCCAAATTTCATCTGGGTTCTTGTCATGATGGCAATACTGCAGAGTGTTGACATTTTTTAGGGACTCCGTCTGAGATGACAGCAACCCCTCAAATTCAGAAGCACTTCTCTAACTGATAACATCTCACATGAAATGAAGTTTTTAAAATGTAACAGCTTCACACGATTAAAGATGCCATAAATGCAATGATGTTTTATCTAAGCTCTTTAAATAAATCCTGTCATTGAAATAAAGGAAATACTATAATTATAGCACTCTATGACTTTGTTATTTTTGCTATCCATTTATCTGACTCTCTAAGACCAAAGAGAGCAAAGACTGAGATTGATCATTACTACTGTGTGGTACACGTATTTGTGGATGAAGACAATACTGAAATGCACTGTTTAAGATATTAAAATGGACACTAAACAGCTGCTTGATGCACATGCATGAACAGAAGAGGGAGCTGTGTGCAGGGAGCAGACACTGAAATTCCTGGATCAGAGACCCAGCATAGCAGTCCAGCCCAGCAGTCCACATGTTAAATATTTATATATTTGCCCCAGCAAAATTAGCAGTTACAGTCTGAAATGAGCTTTGGGGACACTTGCAAACAGCTGTCATGATTATTAATGTGGGACACCAGGATTCTACAGTGATTAGTTGGCATCAGTGCACAACCAGTTCTTTTCCACTAAAGCCTCTTTTAATTGCTGGTCGCACATCCAGGCTGAGGAATGATCTTATGTGGTGTTTGGGAGGGAGGTAAGTGGAGTCAGGATCCATGTTAATGCTGGGTGGGTAATAATCTGGTTCTAGTACAGGAGAAAGGAAAGTAGGTCAGGTGGGAAGGAGAATGACTGGATTTAAATTTTGTTTCTTGAGTCAGCTAAATATATAACATCATGTCAAATTTCTTTATTGTTTATATTCCATGTGCGGTCACCGAATAACTACTGAATTTTGGGGACAAAAAAGCCTGGGTTTTAGAATTGACCCTGCCCCTAACCAGCCAGAGTCCAGGTTCCTCTGGGTGTCCAAGGAGGGGGCTGGACCATCAGGTGTCCCTCCACTGCAGCAGTTTGGGCACTTGGGTGGCCTAGTTTTTTTGCTGAGGAAGACTGGCCCGGTTGTAGGACATTAAGCATCTGCAAGGCTCTCAACGGGTACCCACGGTGGTCCCAGGACTGTAACATCCAAGCGTTCCTTTCCACCCACGTTTGCAAGTGACCCTCAAGGGGTTAGTATTAATCCTGGGTGAGAATTATGAAAAATTACATGGTACCTTCATCCCTTCTGGCAAGTGAGGGCCCCTTATTTACAAATGACCATGATGTGTTAGCACCACATTTTATCAACAGAACATGTGAACACGTGGCGACAGTGACTCTCACCTGTTTGCTTCTGCTTCCCAGTGCAACTTCAGCCTCCGTCAGAGGACCTCAGCTGCCCCAGCGAACAGGGCCTTCTGTACGGGGAATGGGCTCCTCCTCGAAGCATAGACAAGAAGCAGCCCTTAGATCTCATCAGGTGAGCTGTTGTGGAGAGCACTCCATTGAGATGGGCTCAGGTTTGCCCTCATGGCATCTGAGTGTGACAGTCCTCCAAGAGTGCTACCAACCAGGAAGCTCACAGGAGCTGTGAGCTTTGTTGCCCCAAGATTTTACTGGAGGCTTTATTACAAAGACATGACTTATTGGGTCACTACCAACATGGCTAACCCAAACCCTAACTGTAACTCAAACCTTTCCTTAGCCCTAAACGTTGAGCCCCTTCCTCTCCT